TTCTTGGCACAACTTGGTGAGCACGACCAGGGCAGCATCTGTTAACTGAAATATGTCAATTGGTATACCATCTATTCCTGGGGCCTTATTTTTTGCCATGTCCTTCAAAGCAGCCTGAACTTCTTCTTTCATCACAGAACATATTATTAGGGAGGCTGAGCTCTACGAGGAGGAATGTGGCATTAGGATTGGAGGTGGGCGCATCAACAATCTGCATTATGTAGATGACACAACCCTGCTTGCTGAAACTAAAAAGGACCTGAAGCGCTTGCTGCAGAAGGTCAAGGACTGCAGCCTTCAATATGGATTGAAGTTCAACATCAAGAAAACAAAGATTCTCACCACTGATCTGATTGGCAGCATCATGATAGATGGAGAAAACATTGAGATTGTTAACAGCTTTAAGTTGGTTGGCTCCATAATCAGCACTCTTGGTTCCAGCAGCCAGGAAATCAAAAGACAAATTGCACTTGAAAAAGTCTGCTTTCAGGGACCTCTCCAGAGTACTGAAGGGCAATGATGTAAGTCTGGAGACTAAGGTGTGCCTGATCCAGGCCATGGTCTTTGCAATTGCTTGCTATGCATCAGAAAGCTGGACAATGACTAGGGATGATAGAAGGAGAATTGATGCCTTTGAGCTGTGGTGCTGGAGAAGAGTACTGAATATATCATGACTGCTAGGAGAACAAACAGGATTGTCCTAAAGAGGGTGAAACCAGGCTGCTCCTTGGAGGCAAAGATTCTGAAGCTCCATCTGATATACTCTGGACTTGTTGCAAGGCGGGACCAGTCCTTGGCGAGGGACATCATGCTTGGGAGTGTGGAGGGACAGCACAAGAGAGGAAGACCCTGGATGAGATGGATAGATCCAGTGACTGGGGTAATAAAGGTAGGTGTGTCAGAGACAAGAAGGTTGGCTCAGGATAGAGCAGGGTTCAGAGCTGTTTTACCTAGGGTCGCTATGAGTTGCAAGCAACTTGACAGCACATAACAACAACAACAACAAAGACTAAGTCCTGTGTGCATCAAAACGTTTACCAATAGGGTGAAAAGAAAACCTACTGACTAAGATTAAACATTTGGCAATACCATATCAGACAAGTGTCTCATATCAAAAGTTTACAGAACCCTACAGGTCCTCCACAAGAAAAAGACTGTTAACACAATTACAAAATGGGCAAAAGACATGGAAAGACTTAACAGAGGAAGACATTCGGATGGTTAACAGGCACATGAAGAAAAGCTCAAAATCACTGGTAATAGGAGATGCAAATCAAAACCACAATGAAATACCATCTCATCCCAGTAGCAGTGGTAAAGTTTAGTAGGACAACAAGCAATCAATGTTGGAGAGGATGTGGAGAGACTAGAACTCTCTTCCACTCATGGTGGGATTATAAAATTATACAACTCTAGAAGGCAGTCTTGTGTTTCTTCAAAAAGCTGAAGATAGAAATTCCGTATCACCCAGTTATTCCACCGCTTGGAATATACTTTGAGGAAATTAGAATTAAGACACAAAAAGATATTTGCATACCAATGTTTATAGCAGCGTTAGCAAGAAAATGAAAACAGCCCAAATGTTCAACAAATGAATAGGCTGAGAGATTGTGGTACATTCAAACCATGGAATACTATGCAACTCTCAGAAGCAATGATTTTGAAAAATACTGTATACCATAGATGAGTCTGTAGAGCATTACACTGAGTTAACTATGTCTCTTAAGGACAAATACTGCACAAAACCATTACTGTAAAGATAGAGGGGGAACTAGTAAGATGTGTACAAAAGTCAAAGGGGAAGCAGGAAGGGGAAGAAGGACGGGAGCAGAATCCCATACAGGATTATAAAGATAGGTTGTTGTTTGTTGTTATGTACCATAGAGTTCTTATGTACCAACCCATGCTGACCCTCCAGACTTTCACAGGCAGGTAGGAGATTGTTCATCCTTTCCCACAGAGCAGCTGGTGGCCTCAAACTGTGTGCCTTTGGGATTGCAGCACAGTTTCTTGCCATTAGGCCACCAAAAATTAATGAACACAATTCATCAATATTAACAGACTTAAAAGGAAAGAAATATAAATTTATATTTATAGATAAATAAGTTGATAAAGTCCAACTTTCATTTTAGATGAAAATTAAGATCTTCCCTAAAGATCAGCAACAAGATTATAGTCACTGCTCTTAACAATTACAGTCAATGGTTTAATAGAAGTATCAACAAGTAAAATTCAGCAAAAAAGAAGTAAAATTGTCTTTATTCACGGATGACATGATCTATGTAGACCTTTTAAAAGCTACTAAAATTAACTAAATTTAGTGAAGTTGCAGGATATAAACTCAATATAAAAAATTGTTTCTATAATAGCAGTAAACAACAGGAAATTAAAATTGAGATAATATTTAAAATGTCATAAGTTTATGAAGAGCTTTGGTGGCCTAGTGTCAAGAAGCTGCGCTGCAATCCTGAAGGCATGTGGTTCGAATCCACCAGCTGCTCCACAAGAGAAAGATGGGCAATCTCCTCCTGTGTGATTAACTGCCTCTGAAACCTGCCAGAGGGTCAGCTATGGGTCGGTTCCAACTCGACGGTAAACAAAAACAATTTTATGAAAATATAGGGATAAATCTGACAAACATACAAAATTTATGTCCTAAAAACGAAAACCCATCATATACTAATTGCCACTGAATCAGAACCAAATCAAAGTTGACCCTGCAGTGAGCTTTCAGAGGTGGTAAATCATACAGGAAGAGACTGTCTCATCTTTACCCCAAGGAGAAGCTGGTGGATTCGAAATTCCGGTCTTTGGGTTGGCGGTGCAACTCCTTAAACAGTAGGCCACTGTTGTGTACCATGGAGTTGGAATTGACCCATAGGTGGTGACCCTCCAGAGGGTTTTTAGAGGCAGTTCATCGCACGGGAGGAGACTGCCCATTCTTCTCCTGCGATTCAAATTGCGTACCTTTAGGATTGTAGCACAGTTTCTTACCATTAGGCCACTAGAACTCCTTATAAAACCACTGAGAAAACAAAACACACTGGTGATATCCTTGTCAAAAGTGTGTAATCTTCATCTATTCATGAGGAAACATCAATAAATCTATAAGGAACATTAATCCAAAATAACTGGCCTGTGGTCTTAAAAAATATGAATGTTACAAAAGATGTATTTCAGGTCAAAGGATACTAAAGAGACATGGTGGTTAAGTGCAATGGTTAAAACTTGGAAAAGCTGTACCAGTCAGATCTGATTTGACGGTACACGTAAAAATAATATAATAAAAATAAAATAAAATAAAACTTGGAAAAGATGATAGTTTTGCTTCTCCCCCCCTGCTAAAAAGAATTCTATTTAGGGAAATTGGTGAAATTTTCATACCATCTATTGATTAGATAATAGTATTGTATGAATACTAATTTTCTGATTTTGATTACTAGATTACGATTATGTAAAAAGAGTTCCATTTGTAACTTACTCTGAAATGGTTCAGGAAAACCCCCACAAATACAAGAAAAAAACCAATATAGAAATGTGCTAAAATATTATTGAGGAGTACAGGTTAAGACTATTTAGAAATACTTCACACATAGAAAGCCTTAAAACTTTTTCTTTTCATTTTTAATTTTTTTAAATTCATTGTTGCACATTTTCTCCCACTCTGCAATGCATCCTACTTCTGGACTGTTGTCATATATATAATGCCTAATCATATATTCCTTTCAGACGGTTCTTCCCCTCATCTGTTCTAATACAGTGTTCATTATCTAGCCACTCTTTCCCCCTTCCCCCTCCCCTATATGTCTCTCCTATTTTAGAACAGCGATAGTATGCAGTGTTTGTACTTTTGTGACTAAGAGATTTCACTCAGCACAATGTCCTCCAGACTCCCCATGTTGTGTAATGTTTTATGAGTTCATTGTTTTTCAATGTTGCAAAATATGCCATTGTGTGAATGTACCATAGTTTTTCTATCCATTTGTTTGTTGATGGGCACTTGAGTTGCTTCCATCTCTTTGCTATGGTGAATAACACAGCAATAAACATGGGTGTGCACACATCTGTTTGAGTCATGGCTCTGGTTTTTTTAGGGCATATATATTTCCAGCAGTGGAATTGCTGGGTCAAATGGTATTTCTATTTCCAACTTTTTGAGAAAGTGCCAGACTGCCTTCCTTAGTGGCTATACCATTTTACATTCTCTACAACCTCTCCAGCATTTGTTGTTTGCGGCCCTGTTGAACTTTACTATCAATCTTTTTTATAAACAGATAAGTCTTTTGCTATAAAACTTCTGTAAAAATCTGAGATTATTTTGAAATAGAAAGTAAAGACCAATAACTAAAAGGATAAAAACATGAAGTACAATAAAGCCAAAAAGTCCCCCAATACCTGGTAACAGAAAAGTCAACCAAGCTAACAAATGACAAGGAAGTGGGACAGGGAATGAAATAGAAAACAAGACAAATAGACAGTAAAAAGATAATGGCAAGGATACTCCTACATCTATCAGCAATGACAATAAAAATGCATTAAACTCACCTATTAATAGACAGATGTTCTGATTATTTACAAGCAAATGCAAGGTCTTGCTGTATTCTATTTAAGAGAAATACCTGAAACAATATAACTAAGGAAGATGGAAAATCAGGAATGGAAAAAGTTTTAACAGGAAAATGCTAATAACAAGAACTACAACACACAGCATGCAGTGGTAGACTGCTGGTTGACTAGATGTTCATCCTTACCCTCCTCTTTGATAACAGAAAACCATTTGAAGTAAAAGCCTACATTCCAGTCTCCCTTAAAGCTGAGGTATGGCCACTTGACTGTGTTCTGCCATTGAGATAGAAGTAGAATTGTCTTCTGGGATTTCTGAACTTGTTGCTTATTGGAAATTGACTCCTCTCGACAGGTCCTTTTTTGCTCTCTTTCCTTTCCTCTTCCTTCTGGCCCTCAGTGGAGATGTGCTGGCCGGAGCTCCAAAAGTCTTGTGAACCATGAGGGGACCTTACGATGGAAACCATATACCAAGATGGTGAAGCAGAAAGATAGTGGTAAGAATCTGTGGTATAAGAATCTGTGCTGCAATCCTGAAAGCACACGGTTCAGATCCACCAGCTGCTTCATAGGAGAAGGATAAGCAATCTCTTCCTGTGTGATTACTGCCCCTGAAAACCCACTGTAGAGTGAGCTATGGGTCAGTTCCAACTTAGTGGTACACAACTACTATAAAGAAAATGATACAGTTTTTAAAATGAAATGACATATAAGTAAAAAAAAAACGGGAGCTCTGGTGGCCTAGTGGCAAGGAGCTGCAACTACAATCCCAGAGGCACACGGTTCGAAGCCACCAGATGCTCTGCCGGGAAAAGGAGGAATAATCTCCTCCTGTACCAGTCAGATCTGATTTGACGGTACATGCACACAAAAATAAAAAAATTAAAAAAAAGGAAACTTAGATGAAATGGACAATTTCCTAGGTAATCATAAATAACCCTAACTGATAAGCATGTTGCTAGGAAGGGCTATTCCTTGGAGAGGGACATGATGCTCAGAAAGGTAGAGAGGGTCAGCAATGGAGAGGAAGACCCTTAACCAGCTGGATTGACATGGTGACTGCCACAATGGGCTCTAATGTGTCAGGAAGTGTGAAAATGGCACAGGATAGAACAAGGTTCAGATCTGTTGTTCATAGGGTCGCGATGGGTCACATTTGACTAATGTCACCTAACAACAACATAATCGACAAGAAGGAACAGAAAACCTGAGGGTAACAAAAAATTTAAATAGCAAGGGAAAAACCTACCTGCTTAGGGTGATTTTCTAGAAAACATTCAACAAACTTTTAAAAAGTAGAGATAATTCCAGCCTAGCCTATCCTGAGGCATACAACAATAAAACCCAAGATAGACATGGAGTTCCATAATCCTTAATCTCAAAAAAAAGTCTATAAATGAAACCTACAAAAAACATGAATTTAGGAATAAAAAAAGGATGCCTACTACTATCCTTGGACGGTATAGCAAGAAATGCAAGGGTTATAGATTGACGGGAAAGAAACAGAACTGTGTTTCTTTTCAAATGTCCTGATTGTGTACATAGAAAATTCAGTCGTCGTCGTCGTCGTCGTCATCATCATCATCATCATCATCATCACCATCATCATCCACTATTAGGAGCAAAAAGAGAATTTAGCAAAATAATTCCACATAAGATCTACACAAAAAACTTGATTGAATTTCTATATACTAGCATTGCGGGCCTAGGCAGGATTTCGTTGTTGTATATAGAGCTGACTCACAACCGCTCTTAACAAGCTCTGAAAGTGATGTTGCTGTTATATACTGTGGCGTTTGAACAGACTCAGTTGACCCACCAGCAGATTTTTCAAAGGCTGTTAATTACACAGGAAGACTGTCCACATTTCTCCTGCAGAGCAGCTGGTGGATTTGAATCGCATGCCTTTGAGTTGGCAATGCAACTAGGCAGCACAAATCCTTACCACTAGGCCACCAGATCTCCCTCTAAAAAGTGATGCCACTTATAAAAAGATGTACAGGACTGAAAAATTATTGAGAGAACTTAAAGACCCACACAGATGGAGGGATATAACATGTTTATAAAGTAGAAAACTCAGTACTTAAACAATATTAGTTATTTTAATTGAGCTATTAATTAAAATGCAGTATTAATCAAAACTTCAGCAAATTGGGTTTCCCCCCCCCCCATGTTTAGCCAAATTCTAGTAAGAGGAAAATCCTAAAGACCAAGAATAATAAACTTAACTCACTGCTGCTGAGGCCGAACCCTCCAGCAGGTTGTTAGGGGCTGTAAATTGCATGGGAGCAGATGAAAGACATTTACCCAATTAGAGAAATGACCGATAGATTCAGTGTTACTACCCACCCCTTTCGCTATTCCACCAGCATCCCTTTCTCCTTCTGCCTACACCATTCAACACCTCACTCCCCTTAACCAGCCCTTATATGATGGCTTAAGTCTCAAGCGGTTCGGGTCTCTGTGATTCCCAACACCTCATGCTGCTGCCAGTCTCTTATGATGCAGCTAGTATTTCTTGAATTTAAAGAGTCTCTAAGTACAACTATCAGGTACAAGTATCAGGAAGGCTTCCGATCTCAGATAGTTCTGAGAAAAAGTACTTTGTCTTGAACTTCTCCAGGATTGCCTTCTTGTGGCTTAGTACCTCTTCTCTTCCATTTGCAGCAAGGTGGATATCCTATCCTTGCAAGGGGATTGTTTCCCAGGAGAGAGCAATGTGTCCTCTAGGACTGGTACATATTCGCAATTGCGTGCTATGCATTGGAGAGCTGGACAGTGACTAGGGATGATAGAAAGAGAGTTGATGCCTTTGAGCTGTGGTGCTGGAGAAGAGTGTTGACTATACCATGGACTGCTAGGAGAACTATTTCATCCTGGAGAGGGTAAAGCTGGACTGCTCTTTGGAATCAAGGATTCTGAAGCTTCGTCTGACATACTTTGGGTATGTTGCAAGGAGGGACCGGTCCTTGGAGAGGGACGTCATGGTTGGGAGAGTGGAGGGAGAGTGCAGGATGAAGCAGGGTTTAGAGCTGTTGTACTTAGGGTCGCTATGAATTGCAAGCAACTAGATGGCACAAAACAACAACAACAACAACAAACTGCACAGGAAGAGACTATCAATCTTTCTCCTGCAGAGCCTCTCTGGTGGATTCGAACTGCATACCTTTGGGTTAGCAGCACAACTACTTATTCACTAGGCCACCAGAGCTCCCTAAGAATAGATAAGGCAATCTTAAAGAATTTTTAAGCTGGAGGAGTCCTATTATCACCTATTATAAAGCAACACTAATCAAGACAATGTTGAATTGGCACAAGGATAGAGAAGTAGAACAATGGAACAAAACTGAGAATCCAGAAACATCAACATACACATGTGCTGGATTAATAAACAGCCATCATTTACTGGATATGTGCATGAAACAAATCACCTTGATCACTGCTTCACATTATACACAAAAATAAATTCCAGGTATATTATAATTTTAGTGAAACATCTAAGAAAAAAAATAAGATTACATCTTAATGAACTTGGCCACAGAAAACAAAGAACACCAGTCAAAAAGGGGAAAAAACTATATCATGAGCAACATTAAAATTAAGAACACCTAAGCAGAGGGTTATTAAAAAAGAGTAAGAACTTGAGTGGGATGGACTCAAGGCCAACAGACTGTGAGGACTGTGCACTGTCGGAGTCAACTCAAAAGGACCTAACAACATCATGTGCATGGCAAGGTAAGCCATGGGGCATAAGACGACATTGATAATGCACACAACAACAACACAAAATTCACATATAGAATTCTAAATAATAATAATAATAATAAAAAACGCAGTAAGAAAAGGACATGTAACCCAATGGAAAAATGGGTAAAAGGATTCAATATGCACTTTACAAATACGAGCATACATTTATCAAAATGGTTAAAATGAAAAAGTATAAACTGGTATTAGCACTTTGTTGTGTTTTTTTTAAATAATTTTTTTTTAATTTTAATTGGGATTTTAAGAATTGTTTACAGAAAAGTTGGATTTTCTTTCATTCATTGTTGCATATTTTCCTCTTTCCCTCCCCCAGTTCACTTTCTCTTTTAAAAGAAATATTCACTCATTGTTCTGTAATTTCCTCCCTGCCCCCTCCCCAAGTCCTCTTTGCAATGTACCTCTTATTCCGGACTATTTGTCTTCCATATAATGTATTTATTTTAAACAGTTATTTCTTTCATTTGTTCCTATACAGTGTCCATTATATATTCACTCTTTTCCTATTCTCCACCCCCTCCTGTTTGACCTATTTTATAACAGCAGTGTTATGCAATATTTATCCTTTTGTGAGTGAGATATTTTACTCAGTACAATGCCCTCACTCATGCTGTGTATTGTTTTACACATTGTTTTGCAGTGCTGTGTAGTATTCCATTCTGTGACTGTATCATTGTTTTTCTGTTCATTAATTTGTAGTGCAGGCACTTCATAAAACTGTTGGTATTATTTACTAAAGTTTAACATACACATATAGGTTCTACTCTTAGGTATATATCCAAAAGAAATACAAAATAAATGTGCACATGCTCACTAAAAAATAATACAAGGATATTCATAGAAGTACAATTTGTAAAAGCCAAAAATTAGAAGTGTCCAGCAAGAGTAGAATGGCTATATAAGCTCTGGTATACAGCAATATTGTTGTTAGGTTCCAACAGGTTGACTTCACACAACCCTTGATGTACCACCCTCGGCACACCATCCTCACTGCACATTGTGAGGTTTGAATCCATTGTTTCAGCCATGGTGGCAATCCAGCTCACATAAGGTCTTCTTTTTTTCCTAAACTTTTAATTTACCAAGAATGATGTAATTCTCCAAAGACCTGAAAATATGTCCAAAATACGTGAGACAGGTCTCAGCATCCTCCCTCCTAAGGGAGTTATACTTCCAAAATAGATTTTCTTCTTCAGGCACTTCATGGTATATTCAATATTCTTCACCAACACCATAATTTAAAGGCATCAATTAATCTATCATCTTTACTCATGGAAACCAGCCTGAGCTAGGTGTACTTAACTCCTGAAAGTGACATCTTTGCTTTTTAACATTTAAAAAAGTCTTTTGCAGTAGGTTTGCTCAATGCAGTATGTCATTTGTTTCTTGACTGTTGTTTCCATGAGCACTGATTACAGATCCAAGAAAAGCACTTGACTATCAGTTTGCCTTACTGTTGTAACTTGTCTGTTTCTGTGATAGTGGAGGCTATGTCACTGGTATTGCAAATAGCAGGATCACTCATGGTGGACAGGTTTCAGCAGAGCTTCCAGACTAAGAAGAGGAAGGAGGACCTGGCAATCCACTTAAAAACTGGCCATGAAACCTCACGAATAGGAGCAGGATGTACTACAATGAGAGCGCAACAGTCTAGATAAATCTCACAAGCATAATAAACACGTAATGAA